ACCATCCTCGATAGATCCTCGACGCAAATATCTCCTCAACTAGAAAATGTAGAAGGAAGCTAAACATACTGTTAGAAAGCGCAAACTTTCCAAAATTCTTTTTCAAGGTTCTACGAAATTAGAGAGATATTGCCTTTTAAGTGGCAAAAACTCGCATGAAAAATTCGGCATCCTCGACTCGACAAATTTGAGAGACCCTATCTCTTCGAGTGTAAAGCTTTTAGATCAATTTCAATATTGCCCGGTAGTAGCAAATCCAGCTCTATCTAACCCTACCACATACTGCTCCAAAGGTTATGAAATGGGGGAATGGAACCTTTTCATCGAGAGTGTAGATTTCGACGGTTTCGAGCGGGGTTTCGGCAACGGACAAACCGCGCTGCAACTGAATGCTTTGCTGTACATTGATGGAACTCGCTTATTCACATCAAATCAAAGTTAGAGGGGTCGTATCAAGACCCGATCTGAGGGGGGGTCGTACTGAGGTGACCACGTCCTCGACACGATTTTCACCCTGATGGGCAGGGTCTCAACTACCGGTCGCAAACCACCACTGCCTGTTCAAAAAGGAATACAACTGGATACGGACCTGGCTAAGGGACATTCGGTGCACCATCTGTTACTAAGGTATCTAGCCACTTTGTGGAGGATTGATATTCTTTTCAATAGGACCCAGCTTCTGCAGAGGAGGCGAAAATTGTTCAGGAGCGGTGTTAAGCTACTCTTTCCGATTTCACATCCTCAAACGGAAGGCTCTCCTATCCCTTGATTCCAACGTGCTGGACCATGTGGGCGGTATTAGGGGCAGAGCCTGCACACAAAGGTGAGCCGGAGCCTTTTCTCTGCAAAGTTTTGAAGAGAACACCACAGGATGCCATGCGGGTCACAGCAGAGTTCGAAGCAATCGGCAGCCATACTCACAGAACAGATGAACATATCGAATAAATGTCTATTTCAAATTGTATATGTTTGGCTAAAAATTTGTGTAACTTCTTGAAGATACATTCATTTTGAAAGGAGTTGTAAGCTTGAAAGAGGAAGCGTGCTGCAATATTTATGGGACACCCTGCAATATGTTGTGCTTCACGTGCTGCTAAGTAAAACTTCTTATGACAGAGGCTATGAATGGTCTTCTCTGCATGAAACACGACACGACAACGTAAAACAGAGAAGGGCCAACACGGAGCAGCTGGTTGATACATAGGAGGGGTACGCGTGGATAACCTGTTGGAGTCGCAGAACCCCTGCTTCCATCTTTGCCGCTACCATTTCACCATGGCTGTGAGTATCACATATAGTGGCAGAGGTGCTATGTACTCACCACACGCGCGACTTGGGGATCAATTGCAGGATCGTACCTGTCCAAACCTATCCAGCGTTCAGCTCTACGCAATCCAGTGTTTGGTACCAAGGTGCCCAATATCTGAGAGGAAAAACGCTGGCTTGTCAATCAGCTTGTCTCGCAATTCACTGTATAGGTCAATTTGCATTCAAAACGCCACTACGATTCTGAATGGAAGCAGAATGCGTGGCGCACTTCCAAATAAGATTGATTGCACTGACCAGCCGCGGCGGGATTAAACCTTAATAGGTCAACGAGGTCAACTCCTCCTGTGCAAATTGTGCTTCAGTTCGCACACTTAGGAGCTCCGCGGGTCCCTCAACCAGGTGAATTCTTCCTAATTCGATTTTCCCTCTGATCGTGAATTCGTCCCTTTAAAAATTTAGGCTTTGACGGAAAGACGTGGAAACGTCTTCTGGTTCGTTGTAAAAACCTCCCACTTGGAAACTTTGTTGGGGAAGAATAACATTTTAATATTTCTGTTTCCAATGCCTACTTGGAATGAGGCGTGCCATTTAAAAACTAAATCTGAAAATTGGCTCTATAGAATCAAGATAAATTTGCGGGACGAAAAGCGTAAAGTGAAAAGATCGATGTTTTACTGCGAACGAAAGCAAACTAGTTGTCAGCAGTTGGTACGCCTTGGAGGCAATCAACTAGTGCTGTATGTTACCTTAAAGGCAAGCTCCGGGATCGAACTGGTGCTACCAGCGCTCTCTAGTGATATGGCTCAACTTCGGAACGTCTGAAATGGAAGCGAAGCATAAGAAATTCTTATGAATCGCTGAACACTAAGGTCGTACCTTTGAAACAGGTCAGAATGTGGTGCGACGGCAAGAAAGGGCGGACAAAGAAGACAAAAGACACGTCGTTTGAGAGAGCACACTAATATCTACATCAATGCACGCTGATCTCACCAGTTCTCGCAGTGGATGGGAAGTGTTGGAATCGGGGTGAGGTGCAGGCCCTTAAAGGATGTTAGCGCCACAGCCACGCGCAATTTTGTCGACAAAGCTGAAAGTGGTCTTAGGTAGCTACATACCTCACCTAATTTTTCCTCTGCAACCATCTCTTAACTAGTCGACCAATCCATGTTGCTTTTGAAGGGATCCTCCACGAAAATTCTTGCATTCTTTCTTAACATAAATGTAGGTGTGATCACTGGAAACAGCACACAAAGTTTCACGCATGAAGATTCGGTTTCCGAAGAGAAACAAACGTACAAAAACTACACTCTATGGACCGAAGGTAATTCGGGCGGAGCCAAAGGCGAGGCATGGAAAGAAGTTGGCCTTTGGCCGGCTACGTATCAGGCGACGCAATGAAAGAATCGGGTTAAAGCGCGCGATTTCGGAGAGTAGAGACAAATCGATCGATAGAATAGGATGGAGTAGAAGTGTAAGATGTGAATGCAATAAAGCAGAAGGCCAGAAAGAGTTTCTAGTGAAGGCACTCCAAGAACCAAGTGGAAGCATCCCCGTCGCCAGCATTTGTGAAAGACGTCCGTGGGCACTTTGAACGCGTAGCAGCCCTTTCGATTTTTCGAATTTTTTTTACCAAAACAAAAGCAACATTTCTGTTCTTTTCATTCTTACCGTGGATAATGAGCCTCAAGCCAATGATTTACGGCTGAAATAGAATCATGATTTTTCCGCGAAGGATTCCTTTAACGATGTGCGCTCAATCCCGAGATCATGAACTTGACCAAAATTTTCATGAGAAATTCTTGTGCATTGATTGGGCCGGACCACGAAACGAAATCATTTTTGCGCGAACGATACAGGTTGTAGTCATTGTGAGCTCTACGTTGATGTTTGAAAATTTCGCTCATTTTCAGGTCCTGCTGTTGCTAACGTTAACAATCAAGGTGGTTTCGGAGGGCCCCAGCCGTTCGGTGGACAAGGCCCACAACAATTTGGTGGACCAGGTCCCCAGCCATTCGGTGGACAAGGCCCTCCGCCATTCGGTGGACAAGGTCCTCAACAATTTGGTGGACCAGGCCAACAACAATTCGGAGGCCCTCAGCCATTCGGTGAACAAGGCCCTCCGCCATTCGGTGGACAAGGTCCTCAACAATTTGGTGAACCAGGTCGCCAACAATTTGGTGAACCAGGTCGACAAGAATTTGGTCAACCAGGCCCTCAACAGTTCGGACCTCAACAATCTCCCCTAGGGGTACTCGAGCCGAGCAGAATAAGAAGAGACGTGCGAGGTATGACCATTCTTTCGCCTTATTGCACATTTATTTCACCTTCGAATTTTAGTAGGTTAAGCCAACACAAGAAACTATTCCCACTACTTCCATATTGTTTACGATACTTCGCGGAGACGGAAAGGGCAGAATGGCAAAAAGCCGCCATGTTTCAATAAAAACCGACATGTTAAAATACCAAGAGTAAGTGCAGTTTGTAGGGCTATGGTTTTATCGCTCTTGGAGGAAGCAACTATGATAAGAGAGCGCACTGGGGAAGGAGATGCACCACACGAAGCAGTTACTTGGATGCAGAGAAGGTGAAATGTGGCGTTTGCACAACGAAAGATGTGCCGGTTGGTGATCAGGACTTCGAAAGCGCTCCGCCCCCGAAGCGATCCGCCCACCATTCCATTCGGTGATTTGGACGAGCTGCGTGGTTGGCAGCTGCGCAAATGGAGCATCTCTATCAGAGCGCGTTTTGGCAATGGTGGCATAAAACACGTTGCGGTGAACCCTTTCATAACCACTTTCTAAGCTGTTACCTGTTGATGAGTGAAAACCAATGGGCAGAAAAGGGGGTCCCGCTTTTGCGTTTTTTTTCTAACGGACTTTTCCTACTTTTTCCGCCAGTGGCATACCACTAAGCAGGGTGAAAATCGTGTCGAGGAAATAACCGCCTCTTTACGACCCCCCTCCAAACATGGAACTCTGATACGACCCCTTTTTGTCCTCTGCACATCCGGTTTTATATCAAAAAAATGCTAGTTTCAGATGTGCGAGAGGGACGCAGCGCCGCTGCCACGCAAATGCGGCTTGATCCAAATGCTAGATTCAATTCTGCTCAGATTAGGTTCTCCTTCTTTCCTTTAAAAGACATTTAACCTTTGCCACATTGGCCGGAAAGTAGAACATTGAAGGAGGTACTGCCCCTACACAGTTGAACAGTCTCGCGCTCCAGTATAGCGGCGCTTAACTACTCGCGCTAGTTGGAAAAATCGTCAAATGTACCCCCTATTCAAAGGACTATGAACTTTCTTCATTGATAACCATTTCAGAAAGTGAAGGCAACTTTTGAATGCACGAGACTTCTAGTTTCTAAATTGTGCTGAGCGTTTTTCTAAGCACGCCTATTCTCGAGAGTGGGAGACGTCGAGAAATTGTCGAGGAAATTGAAATTTACATGCGAGTTCCCACTCTTTGAAAGGCAGTAGCTGTCTTCATTGGCAATGCTTTGAAAATCGGAGGAAAGCGTTGTAAAGTAGAAGATTTACGCTTTCTGATAGGTGCTCCAGTTGTTTCGAACGCTTTCTAGTTCGCGAGAAATCTGCGTCGAGGAAATGTCAAGGAAATTTTCGAAGCCACTCGAAAACTCTATTACTCCCTCGCCGTAGTAGGGAACTTCTTTGAACACCTTCAAAATGCTTCTGTACACGTCAGTTCGATGGAGTAAATTGAAAATGATGCACTTGGCGCAGATCCATTCCGTTCTTGTATGCGCCATGCAGTGACCCCACTCGGAGTCATTGGGAAGGTGTTTTGTCCTAGTGACGACTTGCTTAAGCACACCAAAAGATATTTCCAGTATTAACTAATTAGGATAACTCTTGTGGTCATAGTGATGTCTGATCATTCCTTTATTCAAATCGCTTCCTTTCCAACCCGTTCTGATGAATGACAGCTTGCGGTTGCAGGATCTGATGATGCCAAGAAGGCTGCGAATCTGCCTGTTTTGAACTTTCTACCAAGATGCTGTTCCTCCACTAAGTTCTCGAAGCATGTGCATCATTCTAGAGTAGATACTCGCTGCCCTTTCCCTACGATTCTTTTGCAGGACGCGTTGCCTTCCTATGCCATACTGATCACTACGAACCAAACCAACAACCACTTTATATTATTTGCATTAGGCTAACTACAACACTTGTGAAACTAATGATGACAGCAAATAAGTGGCAGCAGCACCGTTGTGTCCGTTGATGAACCTTTTGATTACGACCCCCTCCCAACTCTCATCGGAGCAAATACGACCCCCTGTCGAGGATTTCCTCGACCGTTATTCACCCTGCCACTAAGCACCATCACGCACTTAAACCCTTTCTGAATTTTTCGTAATCGCTGCCTTTAACTAATGAGTAATGAAACGCAGCGGCTGTTCTATTTGTTGTTTGAGAGCACGTTTTACCGACACCTATCCTTCATTTTTGATTGCACATTTGTAGTACAACAGTTTAACTTTATGCTGATCTGAGTAAAGAACCTGAAGAAGTTATAGCACCCCATTTGACTGGTTTGAAATGGAAAAGAAACAGCAGATAGACAGTCTTCCTTCCGTTCCTTCTTGTCACCTTAAGAGATGGCTCTCTGATTTGTGATTCGCCCAGATCAATTTGTCACCTTTTTTATAAGTTTTATCTGAAAAACTCTATTGCAGGCACTGAAACCGGTCACGGTATGCTGGAACTAATTCTACGCTAATCAGTCGTCAGAATGGAAGACAGAGTGGAATGCATTATGGCTAAATAAAACATAACAAAGCGACGTGTGTGTTTCTCTAAAAGAACGCTTGGCTAACGGATGTCGTATTACCATAGGCCCAAATACATAAGGTTGAAACTATCTTCATTCGCTGCCCAATTTTTCAACAATTTCACAAGAACTCTCGTTTTGGCTCAGAGCACTCTTTTCTAGAAATATATGCGCAAATGAAAAATATACGCAAGTGCTTTTCTTTCATTCACAACACCTCCTATTTCTTCTCAGAATTACGCTCGATGCTGATGAGATCCAAGCATCCTCAATCGGTCATCGGCTCTGCACAACATTCGGGCAATGCGAGCCGAAACTCCGAAGGCAAATTCTACGAGGGAAGGCTGCTCATCAGAAATAAGGGTAGAGTGGTCAGTGATCAGGAAGAAAAAAACTACCGAAGCGCCCAAGTCCAGAAATATTTCTTGCCTGTTTGATTTCCGCCCTGAGCGCGCCTCTCATCGTGCTGCGCTTTAACGCATGCCCCAGATACATGATGTGGCTCGTGTACACGAGTGCGAATGTGTTGGTGGGAAGTGGGCTGGCAGTAAAGAACAAAGGAAAAGATCCGTCAAAAACACTTAGGGCAAAAGTCCACTCACCTTCCTATCGTCTGTGCTAAGAAAATGAGAGACCAAGCGCGGGCAGGAGAGTATGGGCGAGAACGCTGCAGGATGAGAGATCGCCAGACAACAGCCCGATAAGAGGAAAAGTCTGCAGCTTGGCGGCTTACTTTGCGAGGCTCGAGCGCTCTCGTCGGTCCGTCGGTAACAGTCCTACGGATTCCATAACTATATCAGGTTTACGGAGAAATCACTTTCTCTTATTTGATACCTCGATTGTGCACTGCCCTTTTTCCGAAAGAAATATTCTGACTTCTACTATGCAATATCGCTCACACAAACACGCTGTGACCGCGCTCAATGTGAAATGAAAAAGAACTGGATGCGTTTGCCTGTAATTCATGTGTTGTCTTGGACTAGTGATGAGTTTGACGAACTATTGAAACAGGTTCCGTTGAAAACAAGGAAGATATAGCAGGAAAAATTGCTACGAAAAGGACTTTCTATTTTTACAAGTTTCGGTATAACGAGGAACCCATACCCAGGCCACCGCTACCGTAAAAGCTATACAGGGTGCCCCATATTGCGCCATATTTTGAGCCCAAATTCTGCTGGTGCTTATAGATCTTCCTTCTCATGCCACCTTCCAAAGGTTACCGCTCGTCTGCATCTCATGATGCACCTAAACTTTCACCGAGTGCCTAATCTTTCGCACAGCTAAGTGGGACATCTGGTATTAAAGCCACGAGTCAGGATTAGGTAACCCTAGAAGGCCTTTCCATCACTAATATTTCCAGGAATGCGCTCAGAGGGGTGATGCCACACTCCTGTCTCGAGATTGCGCGCCGTCAAGGCTTCTGGCCTACTACTTTCAGCGATGGGTGGCCTAACGTGTGAGATCAGCTAGGTTGATTGCCGTATCAACCGATGGAACGGCTGGCATATCCGGAAAACTCGTTTGGACGTGGCTCTCCCCCGAGCAAGCCTCCTTCACTGCTAGAAGAGGAAGGGGTTTCGATTTCGGTCTTGTCGACGGTTTCTTTGTGTTTTTTCTTCACTGTCGTTCCACCTCCCATCTCTACACTCAATTTCAGGCGCCATAATGCCCAAACACGAGCCTGACTTTTGCCTTTAAACAACATATTTCGTCGGAATCTTAGCCGCTCCGCGGCCTACCGCGCACTATAAAGAAGGACCATAAATGTAGGCTCCATTGAAGCCGCCCCTTAAGTTCAGCCATCGTTATTTTCAGGAAAGGCACAAAGAAGCGGATCGACTGCAATACCCAAGTTGGCTCGAGAAAGGTGACCAGAAAGCTAAGATTTTTGCGCAAAATCATGTGGACAGTGGTCTTCCGACAACTGCATACATGTTTGTAAGCTGCACAAGCGCCACTGCTCAATCAAATCAGAGAAGTGCAGCTGAGACAGAAATTGTGAGAAGCTGATGCCAGGGGCCGGAAAAGGCTATTACATGGGCACCATTTTCTTCGACGCGCGAAATGTTCACTGTGAAGCGAAGACGCAATCCCAAACTTCAAAAGAGCTCCCACTGTCTAAAGGAACCTAGAAAGCAAGGAATTTTCCTCAGCGGCTGACCTCACCATGATATGGGCACTGTCCATATCATGATGAGGTTCAGCTGCTGCTTGAGGCAATAAATGTATGTATATGGTGAATAACGGTCGAAGAAATCTTCGACAGGAGGGGGGCGTATTTGTTAAGGTGGGTCATGGGAGGTCGTACTCGTGGGGTCAGTAACGTCAGTGGCATCGTGGTGCAGATAGGAAAGATAAACAGAAAACAAGGATATGAGAAAAAATGGTACAAACTATCCTTGCAGATTCAGTCGCTCTATCTCTCTACCTCCGAGAAGGAAGTATTTGAAAGTATACAAAGAATGAAAGTGCATTTTTGCAAGGAACAGGGTCACATGTGCACACGCGCTGCGAAAGGCATTTCCTCTATCTACCATCTGCTCCCTCCCCTCAATACCTCGTTGAGAATGACACTGTTGTTGAAACGCGGTCGCACAAACGAAGAACGCGTGAACGAATGTCGCTGAGCCAAATTCAGTCTGTTCTTGGTAATAGGATTACGAAAATGTGTCTTTCCTACCCATGCAGCTTGTCCAACTGCTCATAGACTTCAACCACAACACCTTGCCGCACGGCCTGTGCCCCAAACAAACATCGGAATGGTGACGTTGCGCCTTTTTGTATTGCTCATGTGAAAACAGTATCAATTCGCATAGAAATTGGCGACTAGAATTTGACCTATAAAGTGAAGAAGAGCGGACTGGCGAGTGCCGCCCACCGATCATCTGATCACTCGCCGCAGGTCTATACGTGGCGAGTGATTAGATAGCTGAGAGAGCGTAGTGTTGAAGAGGGCACAGCGATGAGAGTCGCATCAATGCTCAAATCAACGGGCAAGGAAGGGGTCCCATTTCTCGGGTTCTGGGCCGTTTCTCATGGTTCTTCCTTCTTTCGTGTACCACTCACCATCCCTAGGTTAATTTGAAATGGGTTGCTTTTTCATCGTGAATTCGTCCTTTAAAGAAATTGGAATAAACGCGGGGAGAAATTAATGAAATGTTGCTGGAAACAATACAAAATAAAATGCTGAAGCTGCACTGAAGCCTGGATAGCGAGTAAAGTAGCGGTGTGTTTGTTTGGAGCGGTAGGCGCGGATTCGTCAGTGATACCTGCAGTTGGTGATCCGGTTACCCTCTCATCCTGATGCGAAGAGGAAATGCGGTTCAATTACGTCACACAATATCCGGGAGGGTTTCGGGTACTGCAATAAGTCACTCAATATTTGCCAATGATATTATATTATGAAATTGAAATAAAGGCGTCTTAGTTTCAGATTGTGGAGGGCATTGATGTAAAGGCTTGCTATTCGCTCATTGAATTACTTCCAGAAAAGCTCTTTGAGCATTTATTGGCAAAATGAACCTTTCCATGAAGATGAATTCAGAATGAGAAAGTGGAAAATGTGCTACTGAGAACATCGCCCATTCCCGTTGTACCATATTCACAAAGTTGGCAGAAGCCCACCTGGGGAGCACAAGCTATTCGCTAGGAACTCAAGTCCGAATGCACTTAGCGGTTCAAAGTAGTAAATCAATTACGAGCGGAAACATCTCGTTCTGATGAGGTCGTTGCCGTTGCCGTTGATGTTCCTATAAGCCTGACGTGCAGACGTGATGTCAGGTACAGCTGTGCGCCGCTGCCGTTGCGGCTACCCTATACAGCTGGTTAACTGGTTAGCCGTAGTCGAGTGTTTTTTTTTCGGATCGTGGCGAGGTTTCCCACCTATCGACACGCAATTCACGCGGTATGCTTCGAATGTTCTATGAATTGGGATTCAGCGAGGTTCCAAAGGCGGGTTTCATGATAAGAAGCAGCCCACTGGAAATTAAGTTAGAGATTACAATTATAAAGCACGAGGAAGAAAAACCGAGAACAATGGCCTAGAACCCGAAAAATGGGATCCCTTCCTTGCCTGTTCATTTTCGCATTGATGGGATTCTCATCGGTGCTGCCCTCTTCAACGCTAACGCTGTCTCTGCTGAAACTTCTAGAGACCTAAACTCGAGACGACGCGAGAGGAAGCATACCGAGTTCCATCCCAGGACCATGGGGAGGCCATGCTGGATCGCGGGGTATTTCCTTTTGATGGTTAAATGCGTGTCGGTGCTCATCCTAGGGAGCTTCGCCTGAGTTTTCCCCTTCTTCGGCCTTGTCCTTATCGTGGAATCCTCCTTTGAAGAACAGCGCCCGCTAATCTTAGCAGGATGTAGATCTCCACGTCCTAAGGCTAAATAAGTTGTTAGAGCAGCCAGAGACGCACTGGATGATGCACGCTCCAAAGATTGCATCTCACGTAGGCCAAACAGGGGTCTATCTCTGACTCATTTGTTTCACATACCAAACTTTGTTTTGGAGGCGAAATAATAAGTGGAGGTTTTTCTGCGCAGGCTATTGTATGGACTGAGTGCCCGTTGAAATGCTCGTACGCTCCCGAGTGGAAGTGTAATTCATGGCGCGTCTCAAAAAAAAACTGAATGAAATTCATGCGCATCTCGAAAAACACCTAGAAAAATCGTGATGATGATGAAGGCGGTGAATCTGTTAAGGCTTACCGGATTTATAGTTACCAAAGGCAGGCCACACAGCTTAGCTTGGGAGAGATTTATTCGGCAGGTGTCGAGAATCTGGAGCGCTTATTTCGGCTCCATTCTGAGGAAAATTCAAATGGGTTTATTCTCCAAGTATTTCCATTCAATTTCTCTCCAATCGCAGGAAGATGACTATTACTACTGGAGAAATGGAAAAAGAAAAGGAAAGTTGAGAAGAGAGAGAGAATGGCAACGTCAGTAGCTTTGAAAAGACGACTTCCAAGCCCTCAACGATCCTTCCCCTCTGCTCCGCCCTGGGAAAAAACTTCTCTAAAAATTCATTGGCAAAACAAAGAGTGCACATGGAAATGGGACTCTTTGAAACATCCGGCTCAGTCAACCAGTCCGCCTGGCTAGTCATCCAATCCACTAGTAAAGCTCTGCACTTTTCGTTCCACTGAACAACACCTCAATTTGAATGTTTGGATAAGAGCCCGCGACAAACTCGCACCAGCTCTATTTTTCGCGATATTCGTAAATTTCAACTAGCGCTTTTATGATTTGAGACAGAAACTACAAATTTGTGAGTAATCATGAGATTTTTGGTACACCATCAATCAGGAAAGGATTCGAGTAAATGTACATGTATGCCTTAATAAACGTTCTACAATCAAAATATGTAGTCATTTCGTCCAAAAATGAAGTTCTAGGTAGTACTGTTACCTATGAAAAAACACAAAAGTTCTGGAATGGCAAATCTCCCTTTTGATAAATGAATGGTGCTAAGATGAAGAGACACTAGGCAGCTAGGAGATAGTAGAGACAAGAGAGCACAGCGGGGATCGAGACGCAGACATTCAGCTGCGTAGAGCATCTCGTTGAGAATGATTTTTTCAATTCGAAAGCACTTCAATTCAATCATTTTAAACGCAAAACAACTCGACTCCATGCTAGGAGGTCTGAGCGGTTTGTTGCCACTATCAACCATGGAAGTGGCACATTTTCTGCCTCTGCGGGCGCCCCTATCTCATGGAAGGCATCAATCAACCTGTCTTCATCGTGAGATGCGCCTTCAGAAAATGTACCAAAACATTTGAAAGGGTCTTCGTAGTGGGTGAGACATTCCTTAGTAGCTTTCTTTTCCTCTCCGCCCGTTCCATTACTGCTTTCGTGGCGTCAAGTGCTGAGAGGCGGAAGAAAAGCTGGCTGGGACAGAAACGTTATATTATAGCTGTAGGCTGGTAATTCTTGGTCGTAAAATTGGTAGAAACTACAAAGAAGGTGAATCTAGAATAGAGTGTGAGCAACTACGGATTGCGCGACATCTTAGGGTTTTGGAGAATGTGGAAACAACCGAGTAGGTAAGAGTACCAGAGTGTCGTTAAATATTAGGTGCGTTATTATTGATCAGTAGATCGGCGTAGGGTACCAAAAGATAACGGGGCGCTACGAGGAGAGCAGAGTTGACTGTCGCCTGCGAGGCGTATGCGAAAATCACTAATCAGAAGTGATAGCGAGCAGGATGCGCGAAGCAGAGTTGTAACTAGTAGAAAGAAGTAGAGGATGGAGTAATGAAAGGAAGCTGTCGTGTACCGGATTCCCAACTAAAAAAGATGCTACCGCTCCTGCTCAGGCCAACTACGTTTACTCATTTTCGCGCAGTCTCGGTGTCTCCACATTTGGGCTTCTTTAAATATCCAAGTTGCTGTCTTGGATGAGTTCAGGGGCAGCCAACTATTACCAAAAAGTCCAAAAACGGTTTTGATATGAGAAACTTCAATTCTGAATGGAACAGCTCCCATACGGCTTGCAGATACTTCTGCTTCTGCAAAACATGACCTGTGTTATCAAAAGAAACGTTGTAGGGTGAACAAAAACTATTTGTGAAAGAATTTTTGAAATAATTCTTCCCCGGAATCCTTCAGATTCATAAGTTCAGTGGTGACCATATTCTTGAAAAATCGCTCTAGCTTTAATAACCAAGTTTCAATTCGCAGTCTCTGTTCTGTGGTTCTTTTAGCAAATAAAAACAAGATAAAGTTCTTTATTACTATATGTCACTATGACTTGTGTTATTGTTGCAAAACATCACAAGTGAATTCCGAGCATGAAAAAGTGACGGGGAACATTGTGCTGTTTAGAGCTCTCAACTCAAACAACGGCAACATATTCTACCAGCACAAGCTTCAGGACCAAACCTTAGAAGGGAGAGGAAACCCCGGGTTTGTGAGCAATCTTCGTTTTCTCCGGGGACTTCCTCCCTTCCTAGGCTTAGTCCTAGCTGCTCACTAGGTAAATATTACTTTTCATAGACGTTTATGTCAAAAACACAAGAACACATACATTATATAAAAACCAGAAGAAACAACGTAGGAAAAAGCTGATAACCTTAAAGGACTCCTTGAGCCAAATTGGCATTAGAGCAGACTGCGCGCTGCAATGCCCCTTCTTACCGGAATAGACACGGCTTTTCAAAAGGAATCACCATGAATCCAGCAAGAGCTCCATAAATAATGGCATATATGTTTTCCGGCTTCAAAAATGAGTGCAAATAGTTCAGGAACATTGAAAAATGCCAAGCAAATCAAACAGTATGCTATTCTTTGTAAAATCGTGCGTCACATAGTGGCGCACGCGGTAGGGGCGCATTCGTAGTCGGTCGTCCGATCGTAACGATCGCAGTGATCGCATGTGTCGCACGTCAGACGATCGATACGTATCTAATGCTGTGCGATCGTTACGATCGGACGACTGACTATGTATGCGCCCTACGCATTGTGTAAATCACTGTGAGTGGCCACCTACCTGGGAAGACAGTTCCATCAAGGGCCCCTCGAACATCTCTTCCCATGATACTGGCTGAAATGAATTGTTTTCAGACAATCCTCAAGAAGCTACCCGAATTTTCTAACTGACCAGTAATTTTTCGAGCTCGTCATCTTCCAATTCATGGTCGACCGACGTCTCTAAGGCGGCTTGCACGTGTTTTATGATCTCGCGCCGTTTCGCTCGATTCGACCATTCGTACTGAAATCACACCGATTCAGCCCGAAGAGTTGGTGTTGAGGCCACAAACTCACCAATCGCTTCAAAATCCACGGTGATCTTGTCTTTGGTGGCTCATTATTCTCGGCATAGAAAGCCTGAGCGGAAATGGTTGCCCGTTGCAAATCTGAAATTTGGAGAATAGAAAATAGAAACTTTTTTGGGTCAGTTGAAGAGGTCGGTGGAGATAAGGAGCACTACCCCCAATCGTTCTGCGGACCAAATCTTGGTTATACACTCTACCGAAGGGGTCGAATTGCCTAGGGAGGGTAAAAACGCAGACCTGTACATCAATAAAAACTGTAAAAGTTCAGAATTCCCCACATACATATAAGTATATTCAAATCTGAGGGAAAGTCACATGCACGGCACATCTTGGAACAATGTCAAACATTTTCTCCCTAAAGAAAAATTTGAGCGAAAAAAGCAACAGTGAAAATAGGCTGATTTTTCAAAGTATTTTCGTCCACGTTCCTTCAAGGACATGAAAAGGGCTGTCTGAACTCTTATCCTATTTCCGCAACTCAATCCAATCATGAGAAGTAAACGGTTTTTATTAAATTTCGGACTGCACTCGCTTTATCTCAGAGACCATTTTAGAGTTTTGAGGGCCGCTAAAAAGTGAATTTAATTTTTTAGAATGTCATCGCCTGAAAAGTGGATGTCTTTATCCCATTGTCCTCTGGGATTTTAGGAAGGTCGGGACAGGTAGCAGGGCGAAAGTCAACCCAAGGCAATCAATGCCTTTCAGGCAGGAAAATTTTATCGTCATGAAGATGCAGTGAATGTCGAAAGCATTATTCACCCAGTGAAGCTCCAACTTGAGTCACCGCTATCTTTATGAGTGAAAGCTTCGATCACAGAAATCACTGAGACCAGCCTTTCACTTCATTACTTCCTCGTATCAGGAATGGTTTTTGACCTTCCATGGGACTTTGAATGGAGACCTGGGAATAACTGATAGGGTGAAAAATACTGGTCACAAATGTCGAGTACAGAACTATAGGTGAGCTTTCCAAGCAAGTTATAAACTTGGCCGGGATTGCAGGGTCAGCAAATGAAGTAAGTTTAATTTTTCAAATCACCGTTTTACCTTTCCCTTTGATTCACCACCCGAAGCCAATGCAAAATGACTTGATTACGCAACATGGATAATTTTGACTGTTGGCCTCTAGCGCCAACCTCGTGCGACATCATACTGTACTACTTTTCATGCCAACTACGAAGGCCCACAACTGCTTGGAAAGTTTATGTGGCAATATTGGTCTTCATATTTGCCACTAATTTTCTTCACTCAGTCGATTTACCCAGGCTCTAAAGTCCCATGAGAAGTCGAAAGCTTTCTCTGATTTTATAAGTTAACAGGCATTCATATTCAACCATTGGTGAAACGGTTGGGACAGGGTCAAGCGTGCGTTGAGGAATCCTCGACATGTCACAGAGGGGGGGGGTCGTATTGGCCCGCTGGGGAGAGATCGGGCCCGATTGATACAGTAGGATCATCGTCGGAGGACAAACATTAAGGATCGAATCGATACCAGGCCAGAGTATTTCCAATAACAATTGATTCCGTCCACACAAAATCTTCGTGATTTAGAGGTGTCCGCTTAGCAATTCTTAGTGACTTTAGTGTTTCATCACCACACAAGTCAAAGGATCCGAAATTCGCACGTTTTCTAGGGATATTTTATCTTTCAAGTAGGTCCTCAAATCCAACGAGATGTGAAGCACACGGCGCATCCCAGAGTGGGCCCAGTTGGTTTGCGCGCTTCAGCTACGGCTATCTTGATAACGAATCTTAATTCAGGAAGAATCAAGAGGGTTCTGAAAGAGTTCATGTTAAATTACAGAGAGGAGTACACTATTCAACAAGAAACGCAGCCTTCAGCGTCAAATTCACAAGCATGTAACCTTTAAAGTTGAGACCCGCTAAACAATTTTACACTTTTTGCAGAGAGAAAAGCACGAGGATTTTGAATCTGCTCCTACTTCAGTATGTAATCGCTCCTGCAAGGAGCTATAGTCGTTGGGATAGTGCTAATGTAGCGAAAAAGTACCTTTCGGCGGTACTCGGGCAAAAATCCTCAACGTGGCCATTTTTTAAATAGTGAACGTATTTAGCAGTTTTAGTTGCCTAGAAAGAGCAAATCTTCTAGTTTATGATGACGTATTAACTTTCCAGATTGCATGAGTTTGAACGGAGTTATGGCTTTGGAAAGCGTAAAAACTCGCACTCATCACGAATTTTCCTCGTTAATTTTGCAAAAATCCTCAACGTGGCCATTTTTTGAGTACTGGACGTATGAAGCTGCTTTAGCGACCGTTTGATAGAGAAAATCTTCTAGTTTTGTATGACGTATCAACTTTTTGAATTTGACGGAAATGAAGCAAGTTATTGCTCCGGAAAGTGTAAAAACTCGTGCTCGTCTCGAATTTTCCTCGTTATTTGATCTAAATTTGTTATTTCTTATAACTTCCTGTAATTTCAGTACTGATTAGAAAAAGCTCTTCACAAAACTCCCAAATCAGCTTTCAGATTGAAAATTCGTTAACTTTGAAGAAAGTTATAATCATTTGAATATTTGTTCAAATTTCAATAGTAAATAAGCTGCTCCACGGTCAACGCCAAAGTCCAGTCAACACACAGCTGGCGAAGGCTTTTAAGGCTTCCTTTGAGCGAAAGGGGGACGTGTAAATTGAGAACCATAATCTGTGTAGTACTAGAATTTGGTAAGTCTTGTGGAGGAAATAAACAAAGAAGAGATGTTGTCATAGTACGCCATTTCTAGTGACTAGTTTGACGTTTTTTGCTCCGTTTCTCGTTTGCTCGTTTGACAGGACTCGTTTTTATGAGCAGTTTTGGTGGAGAATTAAACAACTTTTTCATAGTTCGGCTTTTTAAAGAGGGTTGTTTCATGGACTTCGGCCTTCGGCAGAGGGAGGGGGGGTCGTATTTCCGAATTTTCCTCGACGCCTCGCTTGACCCTGGTTGGTGTATTCAGAGAGAACTTATGCCCAGGAGCGCGGTCAAAATGTTACGTGGGAAAACAATTTTCGCGTTGGATTATTTTCTTCTCGCTTTGAATGGCTGTCTTTCCAAGAATGCATTTATACTATGTTTTCCAGGGTTCTTACATCCTCAAGTCATAAAGAATCAGAATATTTAAAGGAAAATTTTTTCGATGTTACCATAAATTTTTTTTTCTGGCCAAAAAATAGAGAAGCCACGAAAAACCGTTTCGGCGAACACATTTGTTCGCTACTGTAGATCTCTTCAAGGCCTCAGTGTACTGCTTCATGCTCGCCTCTCATGCGCCATGTACTTGTTCTTTCTTCAGAATCGCAGAATCCTTTGAATGTGATTGCGAAATCTACAATTACAAACACAGTCCTGTGTGCAGTTTCCTATTCAGAAAACCCATCAGTGAAGACTGTATGGAAGCCTCGGAGGTTTAGGCAAGTTTAGCCTCGGCAAGTTTATTGCAATAGAAAATATGACAGACCATAGGGGTAGAGGGCTTGACAGGCCAACAGCTTTAATAGGGTAGTAATGCAAGTTTCGCAAAATTGAACGGACCATGCGTCACCCTGCCATCAATTTACATAACCTCCCCTTTCAAAAAGCGAGAAAGTGTCGGGTGCAGACCAAACACCACAACTGACGACGGCCTCCAAGTAAATCTGGTTAGAAGTTGTTCATAGTGATAGCTGATTTCTGGTAAATGATAGTTGTAATTAGTGACAATCGATAGAATACAACTGCAACAGGCTAATCATTTCATTGGCAGAAAACATTAACATTTTGTGAAGGCCGTCGTCACTTGTGGTGCATGGTCTGCACCCGACACTTTCTCGCTTTTTGAAGGGGAGGGGTAATTATCGAAACTCCATCCCTGAGCGTGTTACAATTACGTCAATTTATAAAATGAAGGTTCAGGCTTTCACTAGTCTCGGTGATAAGATTTGTAAGACAGCACAAAGTATATTTTTATCTATCACGGGGTTATTTTTCAGGGAATCAGCTCAAATAAGTAACTGTTGATTTCTACCCAAAACTCGTTGCTACAAATAAAGCCTATTCCTGTTCCTCACATGTCTACGCTCCGATAAACAACCCCTGAAACCTGTTTCTCAATGATCGCGTTAATTAGGGTTAGCATTCGGAAACAGCTCAGAATAAACATGACAAGTGAAAGGCGAACGTGTTGCTAGTAAAGAAGCTGAAAATATTTCAACTAGTTAGGAGGCATCGGTTTGGTAAATAGAACATCAAATAGTAGTTTTAAACATAGGGTGAGGATCGTTCCAGGACTCGTTGACGACTTGTCGAGGATTTTCGCCTGTTCAGTCACGCTCTCCCGCGCGGACATTCACTCTCGCCACTGCGAGCCGTCTGTGCTCTCCGCGCGTTCACTCTCGACACTACTCTCGCATAATACAGAGCCATGGTCGAGGATTTCTCGACCGCTTATTCACTCTGTTGGAACAGTCATCACAGGGATGGAGAATTATAGACAGAACACCTCGATCCAGGCGGGAACCAAACCCGAACCTCTCTACTTCGGAATTCTCGGTAAGACAAGCCAGAAGTAAAGCCCTGAGAGCTAGAAAAAACTTTTACCTACCCGCAAGGAGGCCACCGCCGGAACTAATTGCTCTATTGAAGAGATGCGATTCATTGGTAGAGATCTGAACGTGCGGCACAATAATCACGTTGTCCGAAGAGCAACAGCCTTCTTGGGAGCTGAAATGGAGTTATGGGCTGGGTAGGGTTCAGAATTAGGACGATAGAGACGGAAATATTTCCTACGGAGAGCACTACGAAAGAACATCACACACAACACAACCACCTAGACATACCTTTCCTGGTGTTGGTGAGGCTGCAATAAAAATGCTTTTAGTCAAAAATGGCAAAAAAAGGAAAGAAATTGAAGAAAGAAAATACTGGGTAATGATTCTACCCTTGATGGATAGCTCATACCTGTTCAGGAACAATAGCGTATCGTCTGCTCAGTTGTTCCTTGTTTGGGTGGATTGTTTGCGGTTCGCCATCCTCGGGCTGAAAATGACAAATTCGACCTATGAATTTCTTCAAAATTTGAAAATTTCTTCTCAAAAACTGATTTTGTTTGTGTCCTGGGGCACAGAGCACTGATCATGTCAATATTAAGACCATTTATGGGCTATCCACGTGATAGCCTTCAGAAAACCGGAAAATCATCGTTCACCTCGTCTTGTGGCGGACGCCGAAACACTGGAGTCAACACTTTCACATCAAGCATATTACTGTAAGGAGATGTATATGTTTATCAGGAATGAGACACGTGGGAACACAGAAAGCTAACGGACAGACAGACAGCGGACCGATCTGCGAAGAGTAAGACCGAGACGGCTGTAAGAGGCGAAGTCTTTCTTATGATATTGTCGACATCGTCTTCTCGAGCGATCTCGACAGTACACGGTGGTTTTTTTTTTTCTTCTCCGAGCGGCGAGAATTACTCTGAGCAGTTCAGAAGGAAGCCTTTGCTCTCGTGGAAGGCCTGTTCATGGCTAGAAAACGCCACACCTTGAAGTGTGCAGTTTTTCAGGGGCAAGAAAGAACGTTACATTTGCGCGGATTACCGCCTTTTCTTGAAGAAACGTCGACACTTTGAAGCTTTCATCGAAACAAAAAGTGCATTGGGTAAATGAGAGAGGTGGGAGGTCCACGCTCTTTCGAAAGAGGCCGATAAAGCACCGAACAGATGAAGCTTCCACTACCCCTGCCCTGAGGAAAACACCCTTTCGAGTTGAAATCCAATTGAAAAACGCTCTTGCTATAAGACAAACCTCAGGAGAATAAGGGGGGGGTGTAAGATTGACACAAGGTGGATGCATAGGTAGCTAAAATAGAATTCGAATATCGAACCTTAAGACACACTTCGCGATTGCCTGAATGTCCCCTTACCACCGTCCGCTTGTGAAGTCCGCAATCAGATAGTGTATCCGCGACCCCTAGATGGAGCTCTGTGGGTGCTATCTTTTCATTCCAAAACACATCCACAATGAAAGTCTAAGGCTGAAGAAGAGATGGAGGCTGTTCCACACTAGTTGTCATATCATGTCCCCCACCACTCCTTAGGCCAGTTTTCTTTAAGGGATGTTTGGGAATGCAATGCTGCAATCATCTCAGAAGTATTGGATCATATTTATGGAGTCTTTGTCAGCTTTTTTGCTCTTTTTCATGCTTTTGAGGAACCCGGCGGAGGGGAGGGGTAAGAAAACATTCGGGCAATCGCGGAATGTGCCTTTAAGTTCGACATCCGAATTTTCTTGCTTTTTGCCCATTTCTTATGTATGTGAATTCATATCGTACCCCCTTAGGAACATTGTGCTTTTCTGGAATGTGCCCTAGAGGGAATCTCGGACAAGGTCGTTCAAAAACATTTCCAATAAACGGCTGAACTCTGTTTGGAAGCTGCGTGAAGCAAAAGCGTTTGCATGCCTCATTGAAAAATGTCACCCTAATTTTAGAATGCGATAAAAACTTGCTAACCTCAAAATTGCTTTTCTGTCAGTTTTAGTGTCGGACAGGGACAAGTCGAGACAGTAGACGTCTGATGGACGGGTTTTCTTAGTCGCTACAATTAAAAGGAAAGGGGGTGTGATAGATTTCGACATCACCGATCAATCACAACATCGATCAACAGGGAAGTTAACTGCGCTAACCGCTAAAAATATTGCTTTATTTTCAGAATCTTGACAAAGAAGTCAATTGTGCAACTACGGTGAATAAGTCACAGCCTGAACATGATCAGATTTGAAGAGGATAAGACTTCTGGCATTGAACAGTCCCCCTTGAAAAGCTGTAAACATTCCCAGAATCGTACGATCTGAAAGCGGTGGGGGCTTGCCGGTGCCAGTCGATGTACAAGTCAGTGTTTCTTATCCTCCCAGACAAGTCTGGTACCAATTAACCGACCCCGGAGGGATGGAAGGCTTGGTTGGCCCGGGCGACTCACGACCCAGGATTTGATCCCCGGACCGCTCGCGTGGTGAAGCGTCGCCACTTGTCACTACACCACTTCCATAGACGATGATTAGGTAGTCCACGACATTGTTCACAGGACCACAGAAGGGGTTTAGACTGGTGCTCAATTTTAAGAAAAAAACTAATGAAAAGTAAAT